ATAAATAAATAAATTTGCCTTTTTCAGAGTGAGGCTGACATCTGTGGCTGCTGCAGAGGTAACAAACTCACACAGAAATAATGTGCAGTAAAATAAGTTTAATCTGGAAGGTTTTTCTCATGTTTGTTTACAAAACTCTACAAGCAGAGATCAATTTTAGAGCATTGTTTGTAGGTGCAGTCAGTGCAAGTTCAGGTTTAACAAACAAAATCTCTCCAGGACTGTTCACATTAAGGTTTGAATTATTTGCATATAAATTATAATTGCATTAAGAAACCTTTTTTTTTTAAATAGTGACCCAATATTTTCTATTTACACCAAATGCTTACAAAATGAAGTATTTATCCAGAAACCATTTAATATATTTCTGTTTCAACATTTACATGATGTCTTTATAAGATTTTCAATCATTTTAAAACAATTCACATTTTGTTTTTATGCATGTGTTGTTTTTTATTCACGAAGAGTTCTAAAATTTCTGGAATCAAGTCGGATGTAATACACATATCTAATTATGTATGCACCTTCTGTTCATTTACAGTAAGTCTTAGTAAAACCTTTCCACATGATTACAGCCTGTGTTATGGCATTCATTGTCAGATTACTGCGTTTTTCAGTCTACATTCAGATTATATATAGCGGTAAGCTGTTAAAAAAATCAAAAGGAAATTCAAACATGTCTTAGATCTATTACAAATACTCATGAGTCAAATATTATTTTTTGCTGTTTTTTTTTCAAAACGTATTGCAACAAGTGCAGTATTAGCCTTTACCAGACATCTTTGCTGAATTAAAAAATAAAAAACTGCAGCTAATTCTAAGAAGGAAGTAAAAGAGTAACCCTAAGAAATTCTCTGCTCTTGTTTCCGATTTTAGAAAACCTATGCAAATGGTTTTCTGAAACCAGGCAAGGTCAGAAAAACTCAAGGCCTGCAGGCCAAATGTGGCCCACAAGAGCTTAAAAAATGTACTGTCTTAAAATAAGGGTATGCTGCTTTAAACCAGCATTACCCGTAAACTACATCTCCCATGATGCATGTTGATTATTTTACTCACAAAATGATGGCCTCCCACCACTGGGTGGAGGTGCACAGGGTTCAAAAAGCAGCTGACGAGAATGCAATGAAACAAAAGTTTTACACAGTGAATTTCACCTGCTWCTTCAGAATCCTGTGCATCTCCAACATGCGGTGGCTGCCTTTGCTTTGGCCCAGTTGTACTGGGAAGTGGGAATTTCCCTACTTATAAGTGGTAAGTTTAAACTGGAACACCACTCCAGTGGGAATTTCCTGTCYGAAAGGTGGAATATTTCAGAATTCAAGATGGACCACAATCCAACAGGGAGTACAACTCTCTTATTTATTTCACATTCAGTCAGTCGCAGTACTTTTCAGTGATTAAAAGAGGACGTGTTAAAACATTGGGCCTCATGCAAGAACCGTTCGTACGCACAGATTTGTTCTTAAGTTGTGCGTACGAGTGATTTAGGAGAATTTGTG